TCTTGACCCAGATGACTTGGTCAATTATAGACCTATATCCAATCTTCCTTTCTTTTATAAATCCTAAAACTTTAGATGAAGTCAGCGTTTCATTGTGAAATGCTGCCATCTGGTGGCAGTCTAAAGAGCAGCAGCTCTACCTTTCAGGACTCACCTCGGCTTTCCTCCTCCTTCCTCTCTCCTGGATTCTCTTCATCTTCTCCTCCTCTTCCTCCTCCTCCTCCTCGTCGGCTGCAGACGCCGCGCTGTTGTTGACAAGCGGCTCCACGGTGGCCAGGAGTGCAGGGATGGTGAAGCAAGACAGGAAGCGGGCCTTTAGCAGCTGGTAGGCGGGGTTGGAGGAGAAACGTTGGGCCACCAGCTGACGCACCTCCTTCACCTGCTGCTGGTCTGCAGAGAGAACGAACCTCTGAGCGCCGCCTGGCTGCTCTGGCGCCACTCTCTGCTCAGACATGGAGTCCGGCCCCACTGAGGGGGCGGAGCCAGGATGGGTCTGAGAGCCTACAGGTGTGTGTGCGCTGTCCAGCAGCTTCAGAGACGCCGTCATCAGAGATTTCTTGGACTCCAGAAGCAGGCTGAGCGTGTTCAGAGTGCTGATGAACGGCGGCAGGTAGGGAAGGGCAGACCTCGCCCCGGGGATGGCCACGCCCCCTTCCCCACTCAGCCAATCCTTCACTGCCTCTTGGGTCTCCAGGAACATGAGGGAGGGATCAAAGTGCACCCCCACCCTCCGCAGGGGAGGAGGCTTCAGCGGGTCCACCTGGACCACCCCGCTGTAAGGCAGCACAGGCTTTTCAGGTGATTGGTTGACTGCTGGGAGGAGCAGCTTCATGTTCCCAGGGGGCGGGGCTCCTGCTGTAGCAGCAGAATTCAAACCAACAACCTTTGAGCTTCCAGCTGTCAGAGTGGGCGGAACTTTAGGATCTGGAGGCAGAGCTGCAACCAAAGACATGGATGCAGCTGGGGTCATGACCCACAGGGGCAGACTAGGCAGCAGATGAACCCCTGGGGCCTGAGCCGGGGGCGGGGCCTGAGCCAGGGTCAGGGCCTTGGTCGGGGTCTCAGCCAAGGACATGGATCCAGCTGGTGTCATAACCCAAATGGGCCAACTAGGGAGGAGTTGAAACCCGGGGGCCAGAGACGAGGGCGGGGCCGGCGCCCTGCCAGCTTTGTTCTGTTTGGCAGACGAGGCGGGTCGCTTCTTCTTTTCTTTTTTAGCCTTGAAAGAAAAACAGAACGCCATCAGATGGGAGGTTCTATTGGGTTCTGGTGTCTGCTTGTTCTGGAACATGAACCTAAAATCTGTCAACATTTAACCTGAACCAGAACCTGGTTCCATCAACTGTTCTAGTCCAGACCTCAGTCTGAGGGAAACTGTGAGGTCATCGATGACATCACAGACTGGAACTCACCTTGACCTCTGCAAATTCCCTGATCTTCGGGGTCGGCCTTCGGACTCTCTTCCCCTGCTGGATCACATCGGCCCCGCCCAAATCCCCCCGCCTCCTCTTCCTGCCTTCGCTCTGATGAACCGTAGTCTCTGCGGAGGTGGGCGGAGCCTGTGCTACGCGAGGGGGGCAGGAGGACTGAGGAGCAGAGGTGGAGGAGCTGACGGCTGCATACGGATGGTCGCTGCTGATGGCGTAAACGTCTGGACGTGTTTCTAGAGAACGTGCCGTCGTCATGGATACAGGCTGAAAGGAGAACAGAAGAGCATTATGACCAAGCAGACCGGCAATGATGTCACAGTTAACGACCAACCAGCTGAAGCTGATTGGTCTGGGATGAACTGGATCCGAGGCTGTTGCACTGGAAAACGACCAGTTACCCATCAGGATGAGAAAGGTGGTGTTGAATAATTTCTATTATATATTAATTTATCCTATTTACTCTCTATAAAAGTTTTCACTCAGTCTGTTTCACCTTGAAGGCTGCACCATTCCCTGCAGGATGGTGTTTATAGAGCAGCAGAGCTTCTTCCATAACAAACCAGATTCTTTCTCAGGTTTATTTATAACATGTTACTGTTTAACCAAAGTGTTTATAATTAGTTTAGACTCTGACTGCTTTCCATTGTTGTCAGTAAGGAGGAACGAACGCTGCTGGATCAGAACAGAGCAGAATGCTGCCATTAGGGCTGCATGATGAACTTTTCTCTCTTTGCAAAGATATAATAAAGTGCCGACTGAGTGAAATCCATCCATCTCCGTTTATTTAACTAGGGTGAATGGTTGAATACTTTTTTCCCACCACCAAGGTAATGCTGAAAATTTAACAGTAACTGCAGGCCTTATCTTTAAGAATCGATGCGTTTTTTTGCACCATGTTTTTCTCCCACACTGTTTCCATTTGCTGCACTTTATGGGATGGAAATGTTCATTAACTGTCTGGAAGCTGCACTAAAGAAACTTCATTTTATATCCAGTCTGTGTAGAAAATGACAAAAGTTTTTCTCTGAGGCCAAGCAGAGGAGGAGCAGAGGAGGAGCAGAGGAGGAGCTGCTCCTGCTGCATCTGCTGAGGTTCAGAGGGGAACGGTGAGGCTCTGCTGTAGCGGTTGGTCGACGTGACTCCAGCTATGGATCAGACCATCACAGAACGTTCCTCAGGGGAACCTGCTGAGAACTTTACCTTAGAATCTAGAGGTGCTTCCTCCTGCTGATGGGGTTCTTCAAACGCTCCTCCTTCCACACCTCCAACCAGTCCAGGATGGCTCCGCCCATCAGATTTCTCGCCACCTGCATCAGGCCAGACTGTACACAAGTCCCCTTTAGATCCGCCTACATCGATGTTAGCTCCACCCATATCCAGCTTAGCCCCGCCCTCACTGCTGCAGGCAGCCTCATCCCTGCCAGCTGGGGTCTGACTGGGTGGAGGAGCCTGGAAACTGGTTAGACTGGAACCAAGAGGGGGAGCTGAGGAGGAGAGGCAGGTTGGCAGCCGAGGGCCTGGAGATGCAGGAGCAAAGTAGATGGAGGCAGGAGCAAAGAAGGTGCTTTGAGGAAACACCTGAGGACCTCTAGAAGGAGGAGTCTGAGGGAGGAGGTGCTGGCTGGGAGGAGGAGCCTGAGGGAGGAGGTGCTGGCTGGGAGGAGGAGCCTGCATCCCCCTGCTCCTCTGCTGCTTCAGGAGCTCAGAGACGTGCCAGGGGTTGGGCTGTGATCTGGGAGCAGGGGGCGGGGCCAGGAGCTCCGCCTGGCTCCTCCTCTGCTCTATCATCTCCCTGCAGCCCAGCGCGTCCACGTTCATGGCTTGGAGGAGCAGCAGAAACATGGAGGAGGTGGAGACGCCGCCCCGCTCCCCTCGCTCCCTTAGCACGTCTGCGGCCGTGTCTCTGCGGGTTTTAGCCATCAGAAGGTTCCCGATCCACGGCGTGACGGCGGCCTGCAGCTCGTGCTGCAGCTGCCCCCCCCCCCTCACTCTGGGCTTCTGCTTCAAGGCGCTCAGGTGGAGGCGCAGCCCCTCCTGAGACACCATCTGCATGGCGGAGGAGCGGTGGCGCTCCTCCCTGGACAGCACTCTGGGAGGAGGGCCGATGATGACAGAAGTTCCAGAACGTTCCAGGACGGTGGAGCGGACGGAGGTCCCAGCAGGAGCTGCAGAGGAAGGAGGGAGCTCCACAGGCTGGAAGCTCAGCATGGAGGACGATGGTTTCATCTTCAGGGGGATCCACTCCTCCATAGGGGGGATGATGTACTCCTCCTCCTGCTCCTGCTCCTCCTCAGAGTCTTCACTAGAATCCATGTACCGGACCACCTCATCTTCGTCCTCCTGTTCTTCCTCATCCGTGTTCTCCTCCTTCTTGATGGCCGTGGCTGTCCTCCACCCTCCTCGTCCTGCTTTGGCCTTCTGGGTCTGCTTCCTGCCCTGTGACAGAGGGAGAGGGAGCATCAACAGGGAGGTGCCCTCAGCTCCTCCTGGCTTTGCTCCTGGTTCCTGCCGGTACCTGAGCAGGAGGTCGGATCAGCTTCCTCCACTCCCTCATGCACTGAGCATCCAGGCGGTGAGGAATCTCTGCAGCGATCTTTGCCCAGCGGCCTGCGGCACAGCGACACCCGGGTCAGAGGCTGCTTCATCATCATCATCATCATCATCATCATCATCATCATCAGAACCTCACCAACGCCGTGTTTCTCCACCAGCTTCTTCAGCAGCTCCACCTCATGTTTGTCGAAGCTTCCTTTCTTTATGCTCTTCTTCAGACAGTCCAAGTACCTGAAGACAGAGGGACGGACAGAGACTATCAGAGGGACAGACAGAGACCATCAGAGGGAGGGACAGAGACCATCAGAGGGACGGACAGAGACCATGAGAGGGAGGGACAGAGACCATCAGAGGGACGGAGTCACCACTCTGTCCTCGTCCAGGTTCTCACCTGTCCCTGCAGGCTCCATCAGAGCGTCCAGGAACTTCTAACCGGACCTTCCACCAGCACTTCTCCCCGTAACGAGCCACAGCCTGCAGGAGGAGCTGATGGAGACAGACAGGCGTCCCGTCAGACAGACGGAGACAGACTAACGCTACAATCAGACGCTGGAGGCAGCAGAGGGAGCTGCTGTCCAGGCAGAGACAATGATTGAAGCACATGAAGGTGCAGCAAAAGCTCCTGCAGCGCCTCATGAGCAGCTGAGGGTTAGGGCTGGTTTATCCTCAGAACCAGGTGGTCTGTGTGTGTCACAGTTAATGCAGATAAGCCCCGCCCCTTCCGCAGACAGGAGGCTTCTGATTGGTCAGATCTGCGATACACTGCTGCGCAAGCTGCTGGACGCGCCGCATCAACCAATGAGAGAAGCTGATCTGGGAGCTGG